TACAAATTTGAAAACAGCAATAATAACAGGGGTGGAGGGGGGAAGCTTTACAAATCTGTGAGGGCTTGTTAGGGTTTGTATGCATGAGAGTGAGGGAAAAGTAAGGTGCACTCAGAGATGGAGAATTTAGGTTTCCAAAAAAACTGGTCTTGAAATCTAACGAGAAGACAGGAATTTTCACTTCAAAATAAGATGTTCCTGAATGATAAAAATTTCAAATTATAACTTTAAAGACCAATCACATTTCCTATTTATTCCCTAGTGTTACAAATACATTCTTGGCCTTTGCTTTTGATGGCCAAGTGGACACTGTATTTTTACTTTAGGGGCCAGAAAAGGCCTTCGTCTGAGCGCTCAGCCAGAGAGTGAAGTGCCCAAAGCAGATATTGTCACGAAGGTATTTCCACATCTTACGGGGGCGATAAATGATAATACCTATCACTTAAGGTAGTTAGGACTAAAACCAATTTTAAATTTATAAACGAGGATGGTCAGGAAGTGCCAAAGTTCAAAACTGGAAAGGAATAGAAATCGTTCAAACCAACCCTTCATTCTCCTCTTCCTCACCAAATAGACACCAGTTATTTTTAAGCAATGCCTCTGCTGAGGCTGGACTTCTCTTTTTGGTGAACACATGAGACACCCGCAGTCACCGATAAGGATGTGAACTTGCCTGGGCTTCTGTAAGAGATCTCCAGCTCTGGTCTTTAGATGATCTAAAACTGAACTGCCTAACGTAGTAGCTGTTAAATACATGTGGAATCTGTGTACTTTTGAGGGCTTAGGAAATTATATCTAATAAAATTAAAAAGAGTTTTAAATGTAATTATTGGGTCACATAAGGCATTCCAAATGCCAAATAGGTTCAAAGTTCAAGTATCTCCAACATGACTGTCTGTTGATTGGAGAATGCTGCTTCAAAGGGGGGTGGAGGGTTAACTGGATTTTTTTTTGAAGCACTGATGCCTCAAACATATAAAAATTTGTGTAGCAGAAAAAAGTGAGTTTTAGCCAAGCAGAGGAAATGCTATGACATCTTCAGTTTCTTTTGTCAATATCCAGGGATGTTTGAGTGAATTTTGTACACTTTGCCCCGTTTTTTCTTTTTTTATTCATAGCATTGTCTCCTTCCTGACCTAGGATCTACAAATGAGAAAGAGATGAGTTTAGAGTAAAGGAGATTTGACACTTTATGATAACTGTATGGACTCTAGGAATCTACTAAAGTTAATATCAAGTAGAAGTTAATAGACATTGTTCGACTATGTTGGAAAGAAAGAAAAATGTGGATTATTGAAAGGGTAAGTGGGAAAAATCCTATTGACTAGAAACTGGACTTCAGTTTCAAACAAAAGAGAATAAAAAATGAGAAGAACCCATTACATTTTAACTTAGGCTTTGCCTCTGAGACAGATGTAGCTAAATATTAACTAGGGCGGTGTAGTAAATTACAGATTAAGAGGCAATTAAGTCTCATATCTCCCCCTTTCAGGGTGAGAGCTTCTCCATGTCAGATAAGGGGAGACCATGTGACAGGTGGCATCTATTACGGAAGCATGAAACTTGTAGAGTGCTTAGATTTTGTGTTCCCAAGAGGTAAGATCCAAATGTCTTACTTGCTTGTACACCTCCTGCATCAGCGTCATGCTTCCGTGAGCATTTAATGAGTATGATGTGATGAACGCAGATGGAAAATCATACCTGAAACAAGCATTTAGTAACACAATGGCTGAGTGGGTTGATGATGAAAAGGCTGGATCTAGTGCCATAGACCATCAGCACACACTTTGAACATGTACCTGCAGACCTCCCGCTCCCTTGAGTGAGGTGAGAGGTTCCTAGTGTTTTTCAATACGCTCCTTGCTGTCACTGTTAAATAGACATCACAAAGTAAAGTTAGGGGCCCACCACTCTGTCATTTTAAAGGACAAGTTCTTGGTGGATTATCTCAGAAGCTTAAAACATCTACCCTCCAGTCTGAAAAGGGCCTGGAGAAGAAATGTGAACAAATACCCCTGGGAGCTTTCCTTCAGTGGAAACGAATCCATCCAAGCCCATGTGTAAATATTATACAGCAAAACAGAGGCTCCCAGGTTGCAAATGCTGAGCATTTTGCATCAAAATGCCTAAAAACGTGTGTTCCAGGTCCAGCTTTCCAGAGACCAGCCCAGACACAGGGAATACTACCTGCAGGAGGATGGCGCCCAAGGGTCTGAATACTTACACTTGCCCTAGGAGATTCTGACGCACCCTGGGGTTCAGGGCCGTCTGGGAACGCCCATCTTTCAACTGGGGTGTGGCTAGGTAACAGCTTTCTCTTAGCATCTGTTACAAATCTATTTTATGTTGCCCACATCCCTTCCTGTCAAGGGAAAGGAATGTAGGATGGGATTATCTATTATTATTTCACAATTAAGGATAATGATGGGAAATGTCCTAGGTGAGTCAGGGGTGCTGCCAGGAATCTTTTCACTAGTTACCTGTCTTCTAGTTAGTGTGGTGTTTTGTTAACAAGCCCACTGTTCCTGCCAACGCCAGCAGCCTTTTAGTGGCAGGCTTCTGGGTCATTATGGGTCGTGATGTGGACACACAAAATAATGTAAAGCACAGTGGCTGGCTGCAACTAAACCCACAGCGGCCAAGCCCCTGAGATTCCAGTCTAAACAAAAACTGGGGCTGGCAGGTCTGAGCCAGCCCCAGTCTGAGAATTTCCCTAAAGATTTGTTTTCCATTGGGCACCTGTGGGATTTGTGTTTCGGTCCCAAGAGTCCTTGGAAGTCCTGAAGTAAAGCAGTTCTAAGCCCTCCCTTACCTGTGGGCACCTGCTTACAGTTGGCTGACGGATCGGCTCTCACTCTGAATCCTCTCTAGTCTGATAAAGGGCTCTGAGCTCCTGGGAGGAACCGCGGCTCCAGAAGTGCTACCGCAGGTAGTTACCATAATTTATTGAGTGCTGCCCCCTAGAGGATTAAGAAAGATGGTCTGGTCGCTGGGAGGCCGAAGGCTCATTCTCTCTACCCTAGAGCAGAGCATCTGTCCTCTACTCCAGTGGCCTGATGCAGTCTTGTAGCAGGAAATTAGTTAGCTCCCTCGTTAGGACACATCTAAAATATTAGAATTCACATTGCTGAGAATCACGACCAGGAGAGGGACACTGGAACTGACCTTTCTCCCTACCAGACGGCCTGCTAGGAACCCTCAACCCCAAAACCCCAAGATCAGAAGCCCAATGCTGTCATTCTTATGGCTTCCCAATGAGCTGCCGTTTACTTTTTCTCTCCACTTTCACCTAAACTCTGACTATAAAGTTCTCCAAAACAGGATTGCTTCACAGTGGGCAGACTATATTGAAAAGGATGGTTTGTAAAGTGCTGTCACTGTTGCTATTTGTACTTCGTTTTGCATCTTGGGAAGGATAGAAGAAGGGCCTAAGGGTCAAAATCCAGACCGCCTTTTTAGTCCATTAAATGACGGGGGTGCTGGTCTTTCTTGACTATTGAGGTTTGAACGGGAAAAAACAAAATCTGCAGTTTTAATAAAGTCGATGTGTTCTCAAGCCTTTAAAGGAAAGAGAGAAAGAAGGGAGAGAGAAAGGATGAAAGGCCGCCTTTAGGCCAGCTCGAGCTGTGTTCCCTGGAAGAACTCACTAGGCCTCTGTTACATGCCCTTTCAAACCAGGCATCTGAGATTAACACTGTGATATGCAGCCTGTGGATTTGCCCAGCACTGTAAAATCCCTCCCCGGCTGGGCTCAACTATTTGCAAATCACTTCTGATTCAATTTTGTTTTGGTTATCTCAGTGTAAATAACAGTTAAGTAGGAGTTACAGATTTTTCCAACACTAAAAGTGATAAACAAAGCTAATGGCAAGTCCAGATAAGGAGGAAAACCACCCAGAAGAATCCACAAGTACAAGCAAAGAAATAAATGGGATAGTCAGATGTGTGTGTTTCTTGTCACTGAAACTTTATTTTTCTTAATCTCCAGAGTGGCAGAAAAGGTATGTGCAAGGGTGTTATTTAGACTGCTCCTGTTAGAGCCTTTATGATAAAGTAGTAATAGGTTCTTCGTGAAGCAAGATGGTTTGGAATCCATAAAGTCATCTTCTGAAACAAAGATGCAAGTGTTTCCCCAATGGGTAGCTAGCAGCTCCCTCTAAACAGCTTTCACGCCTCCATTTAAAAATAGTTGGCAGAATGCTGTTTTCTTTCTTTCCGCCTTGCGACCACATTTCCAAGGGGTAAAGTAGGCACAGCCGCATTCGAGCCTTCCTGTACCTGTGTGTGTGCGCGTGTGTGTGCGTGTGTGTGCGTGTGTGTGTGGCGGGGGGAGGGGCGGGGGTTCGGTTTGTCGGACTCTGTTACCAGAGAAAATCCTTTGCTGAAAAAAGTCTTTCTCTTTTGATAGTTGCACGTTCGAGGTGCAGGGAGAACTGAATCCTCACTCACGCTGAGAGGAGAACGGCACGTCTGGGACACAACAAAGGCTCTGAGTAGTGAACGCAGGGAGTGTTTGGGGTTTTATTCAGCCGGGGCTGACCGTGTGCGTCGCCGCCACGCACTGCTGCCCGTACGAACGCGAGGCCGGGCTGCCGCCGGGCTGCCCACCCCAAGCACCGTCCGCCACCCCGCTCTCCTGTAACGCCATTGCGCGTGGCATTGTGTTGGGGTCTCCGTGTGTGGCATCTGAGGCAGGGGCAAGGATTGCAGGGTTGCCCGCAGTCTCCCTCGGGCGTGGGCTCCGCGGCCAAGGGCAGCGCAGCCGGGAGGCGTCCGGGGGCGCTCCCTTCCCGGGGCGCCGGGCACCCGCGCGCGGCATCTGCGGTCCAGCGCCGAGGAGCCGGGGGTGGGCGGGAGGTGTCGGGTGGGAGAGGGGCGGCTGGGTGGGAGCTGTCGTAACTTTGATCCCAGGCGGCCGTGGAGGGAAGCCGCCGCCCCGCCCGAGCTGGGTGCCGCGGCGCTCGCCTGTGCGCCGCGCGGCTCCGCGGCTGCCTCTTTAATCAGGAACACAGAAGGGGCGGGCCCACAGCCGGCGCGTAATCGGAGAGCTCTGCCGCGGCTCTGACATCCACATGCTGCTCAGCCTGAAAAGGCAGGGGGGAGCCGGAGGGGAAGCAGAGACCGCGAGCGAGGCACCAGCCCGCAGCCCGCCCTCGGCACATCCCAGACGCGCAGACACTCGGCGAGGCGCTGGGCGAGGTGGAGGTGAGGGCGGGCGCCGGCGAACTCGGAGAGGGGCTCGCTCAGTCCCGAGCGATCCCAGTCGCCGCCGCCGCACCAGCAGCAGCAACAGCAGCAGCAACAGCAGCAGCACCAGCAGCGGCGGCAGCGGCAGCAGCAGCTTCCTTCCTCAGATCCCCTCGTGAGGCTGGCTAAGCGGGTGTAGCCACCGGGGGAGGCTCCCGGTAGGGAACCGGGCGCGGGCTGGAGCTGGGCGGCCGCCTCCCACTCGGGCCGTCCGGCGATCAGTGCCTCCGCCAGCGTGTCATCCCGGGTGCCGGGGATGTGTGTCAGTTTACGCCTCTGAGATCACACAGCTGCCTGGGGGCCGGGTGATGCCCAAGGCGAGTGTTGGCTCTTATTTTTGTTATTTTTTACGCTTGGCTTTCGGGAAATATTCGTGATGTTGTAGAAGAAAGGAAATGATACTTTGAGGAACTGGAGAGGACATAGATGCCTTGTTTTTAAGAGAGGAAACGCGTCCCCTCTTTCCGGCTTGCTCCCTTTTTGCTGATTTCAAGAGCTACCCTCCTCCTGGCGAGGTGGGGATCCAGCTAGAAGAAAGGTGAAGACGGGCCGCCAGAACTCGGGAGGAAAACACTGACCACTGGAAACCTCTGCAGAAGACACTGTAAGGAAGAACAGAAGCCAGGGGAAAACACAAAAGACTTATAACTATACAAGAAACCTACAAATCCTGCTCTGGAAAAAGGCTCCTTCTTCGAAATGGATATGTTTCCTCTCACCTGGGTTTTCTTAGCTCTCTACTTTTCAAGACACGAAGTAAGAGGCCAACCAGGTAAGCCCCTGAAAGTTTTTTCTAGTCGTTTCAACATGCTTTTCCCTTTAAAAGCCACTTGGAATGCTGGGGGCCACACGGAATGGCATATAAGGAGGCTCCCTCGATACTGAATAATTTAAAGAGAGATCCCGGCTGGCCCTCCCTACACCACCACCACTACTGAAACCCAACTTTTCTCTCCTGCTAGGAGTGTGTGTGTGTGTGTGTGTGTGTGTGTGTGTGTGTGTTTTGAAACATAGACAGATTTTGGCGGTGTTCAGATGTCACATATGGACTGAATCAAAGGTTTAAAAATACTACAAAGCCTTTGCATTACAGTTTTTGGGAATTTTTTTCCCTGTCTTGAAGCAGAACACATCTCCCTTGAGTTTCTTCAACCTAGCCAGCGAAATATAAATCATTTGCATTCCCTCCACTTAGCTACATTGAGTAATGTTAGCTGAAGGCTTGGGAAAGACAAGAATCTAGTTTTGGTTTTCCAACACTGTGGATTCTTTACAGAATGTGTGGATACGCCTCAAAAACAGAGGACTTGGGTTGATGGAGCAAGTTGGCTTGTGGCTGAGCTAGGGGCTTGGGATTGGCACTGCTGGTTGTCCCTGCTCTTTCCTGCATCCGTGTGTTTTCTGGGAATGTGAATCATATGTTCTTTTTAAAAATATTATTACATAAAACAAACTGTATAGCCCTCGAAGGTTTCTCACTCTTGTGAAGTGGTTAGAAACTTTTGAGTGGAATTTGTTCTCAACCACTGCCAAAAAGGGTGTGTGGTCAGTCTGCAGAGATAAGCACCTCAAGGCCCAGAACAGTGTGAGACCTCCAGTATCTGTGGGGGTTGGGTTGAGGAGGGGTACCCTCCCTGAGATGGGGTCTCTGGTTTCAGGGAACCCAGTGGGGCTAGTCCTTCCTTCCCCACACCAACCTCGAGTGACCCTGTCCCTTCTGACAACAGTATCTGGAATCTGACAAAACTCTTAAAAGCTGCTACAGGTGATTAACAATGGGAAAGCATCTGTGGAGAAAATAGAGGAAAGAGAGGAGACCAGCTTCTTCCACAGCTATGGCGGCAGTGGTAGGGCTAACTCCTGGCAACCGCCTAGGCTCCATTCGGGTATCACAACCTGCTAGAGGTCCTGCAGCAGACTGCTTTGACCAAGGGAAATCTTAGCGCCTGCGACTCTGGTTCTCGCCCATCAGCACACACTCATGCCTTGTTTTAAGCTTTGGTGTTTATTTCAGGGGCGGGATGATTTAGGAATCCCATTTTTTTTTTTAATCCACCGTTTGCTGCTCCTTCTGACACAACTGGTCTGAAGGGCAACTGCAAATGGTATTAAAGATATGGGTGCTGGACGCACTTGGGGAGATTTCCTCATTCCCTCTAGCCTTAATTCTAACTTCCCAGCTTGAAGCGAAATTAAATTACCTCCCACAGAACTGGATGCTGCATAAATTATGTATGTTTGTGCGATTCGCTCTGTGTGTGTGCACGCGCGCACGAGCGCGCGGTGAAAATGCCCACGGTATATATTATGTATTCAGGCGCGGACTCTGGTAGGCCCCGACGCACGGGCACGCGCACACTGGCGCACACAACCGCGCGCGCACAGACACACACGCACACAACTTCAGGTTGTGCGTGCTGTGAAGAGCGGGAGGGAGCGTGAAGATTCGGGGGCCACCTCCTATCGCAGATGTTCGCACATCTGTCCCCGAGCTCTGCGTGGAGTGTGTGTGTGTGTGTGTGTGCGCGACACCCGCTCGGACCCACTCCCGCTCTGCCACCTGCCTCCCTCGCTCTCTGCAGAGCCCCCTCCCATCCAAGCCTGGGGCCGCGCTGCGTCACTTCTAGAAAAGCCCAGAGGCCCGTAGCGCGGGGCAGATCACACACCCTGTGAGGCCACCGATAGCCGCCACCGGAGATGGGACCTCCGGATTGAACGCGGAACTGGGACCTGCCTGGGGTGGGCGTTCTCCAGCACCCGGCGAAAAACGATTTAAAGCCGCGGGCCTCTCGGGCTTTCCGTCGGAGCAGCCGGCTGGCAACTAGGAAGGTGGCAGAGGGTGGCAAAGGGCGAGGCCCAGTAGACCTCTGACTCACCCCCTGCGCGCGGGCCGGGAGGGTGCCGGGCTCAGTCGCCCGCGGCGGCGGCGGCGGCGGGACCCATTCCGAGAAGGAGTCTGGGGAAAAGGGGGGCGGAAGATGTATGCAAAGGAGCAATTGAGCAAATAACCCGGCGGCCTTGGCGCCCGGCCTCTCGGCCAGGCGGGCGGCCTGGAGGCCGCGTGGGCGTTGCGCACTCCGCTGGGTCTTCTCGCCAAGCCGCCTGGCCAGATTGCTGCTCGGCCGCCGGCCTCACTCCTTCCTGGGCTTGGGGTTCGGGGCAGCTCGGCTGGCGCATCCCCTCCCGCCCCCTCCCGCCTCCCGCTCCCCATTCTGCGCTGTGTCCCCCCCGCCTGCCCTACAGAGCGGGCTCAAAGGGGCTGAAGATCGCCGCGCCCGCCGAACCGGGTGGCGGGAAGTCCGCTGGGACTTCGGGGTTGAAGACTGACCGAGCTGGCTGAGGCTGCGGGAATGCGCGCTACTCTCACGGTCTGGACTAGCGCAGCGCGCCGAGCGCCTGCTGGTGCGGCCGAACAGGTGAAGAGCACGCGGCGCGCGGGCGTCCACGTGGTGGGGCCGTGGCGGCCCCCTCCTGCCCCCACCTCCCCAACACTGTCTCTAACGCCGCATCGATTTGTTTGGGCTACGCAGCAGAAACTAGAGCCGAGCGATCCATAAACATTCTATTAGGCAAAATTATTCCCAGCGAAAGCAAAATCGAGGCACAAGGGACGAGACAACTCCTGGTCTCTCTACCAGACCAAGGACACCCCCAGGGTGATGCTTGCGGCATTTCCTCCCTTTGCCAGAAAGTTAAGTCCCCGCTGCGGTTCTCCCCTCCGGAGAGACCTCTGTAGTGGCC